ACAAGTACAATAGGTACATGTATAGCATAATATAACTTAAATGGAATGAAAAAATAAGAAGAAGAAAAACTAAAGAAAATACACGAAACTTAAAATAACACATTTAAAGTAATCAATGACTTGTCACTTGAAAGTGATTGAAATTTTGCATGCAAGCTTTTCTTATGCCGTGATAGTCCGTGTTGGTACAAAATCATCATGGTCAAAATCACGATAGGTGAGAACGAAAATGACTGCCTTAAGAAATTACAAATGGCCTATGAATCTTTGCAAATAGTTTTTGATTTTTATTGTTTTATAATCTGAAGTTATTGCCTACTAAAAAGTGAAGATCGTACGATCTCACTGATGCAATCCTACATCGTACAGAGAGTTAAAAATTGTATAAATAAGATTTAAATCGTACGGTTGGCAACACTGAGACATACAGTAGACGTGAACAGTTTGTAAATATAAATGTCAGTTTTATGTATATCGAAGAATCCTGAATTTAAATTTTGAGTTCATGATTGTGTTATCCTCTAGATGAACTAAGCGAACTGGCTGGGGCTGTTTTTGTGTGAAATTTGAGGACAATAATAGAGAGTTGAAGTGATGTTATAAACGTAAACGTATACGTGAAATTTGACATCTGCGCATGCGTATAAAATATTCTTCACGTTTACGTCTACGTACATACGTAAACTTACGGGCTCTGGCGTATACACGTAACGCAAACAAAATAACCTCTTTTTAATTGCAAAAGAAGAAATCTCAATATAATTTGTCATTAATTGTAATTATTTGTCATGAAACGTAAATGTCATGATGCGTTTAACAACTTCAACTCATATTTTGTACTGCAACGTAAACATTATTTTTCTGCGTTCACGTTCACGTTTACGTTAACGTACTGAAAACACTTCAACTCTCTAATTATATTTTGTATTATTACATTACAATAAGTCGGAGAACGTATTTCATTAACACATGCCACATGAATAAATTTAACAACTTCAATGAGGCGTACTTTAATTAACCAAAATAATATCTAGTCATGTAAGTAACACAAATAGTAACCAACGTTTGTCACAAAGTAGGTATTTATGTATTATTTATTGGTTTAGAACAAGAAAATGGCTTCAGATCGTTAAAAAGAAGATTTTTAAATAAGACACCATTGGCCATTCGTTTGGAAAATAAAAACAAAATGTAATGTTACAAATAACGATCAAAAATTAAAAAATATTTGTCATGAATAAATTTACAATAATTAATCGATAATAGACTGTAAGTGTAGTATTCTTTTTAATAAATAATTCAGCGTATTTACATTGTTTAAATTTATTGACAAGAATATGAGAGTGCAGTCGATATTTATACAACCTTCATTATCAGGTTTTTAAATTTCCCGCTGCTTTGTTTGATATCGATGAAAGCGCCATGTAGTGGGTCAGATGTTAACTGCGTTAAAGCTGGTCGTTGTTAAGCATTGGCTTCTTATGAACGTTTACTATCTTTATCTCCCTTATCTCTGCTTAGTAGTTGATGCCGAGACACCGAATTAAAAAAAAAAAAGAAAGAACTTTACACATTAGTAAACGACGTATGTTTATCAAAAGCACAAAACTCTCACCCTGTCAAATTCAACAGGCACCCATTTGGACAGGACGTTGAAATGCCTAATTATATCCGAAATTTTTCGTAGTAGTTGTACCAATACATTTAAGGCAGGTACAGATCTAAGCACGTATGAGTATGAGGCAAGCCAGAGCTGAACCGAATGCCTTGTGCGGCGTTTTTTATATACGGGAATGGTGGATGCACGGGACGCTGTTCGCCATTCGTCCAGTGAATTCGCGAGTACCAGACCACTGTAAAATTAAAAAGTAGAGGATGAAGATTATGTCGCGAATTTTAGTGCCTGTTTTATTATTTAAGGCCACATACTTTGATTTTCTTTTACTATACGGAGAATGATCGCACTGCGCAGCTTTCTGAGTGCCTTTTAAAAGGAGAGAAAACTCCGCCATTGTGAACCCTTATTACGTGTTGCCTACATCTTGGCGCAATATTTTTAATAGGTGCGTTTTAATCATCCGCTTCTGCTTCGGAATTGTCGGTTTTCTTGTTTTAATCTGACAGGTTAAAACGACTAAACCGACAATTCCGGAAGCAGAAGCGGATGATTAAAACGCACCTGATATTTTGCTTGCTGTTGTCAGTGTCAGTGAATATTATTTTTGAAGTCACAGTTTATCGCTAAAGAATCAGTTAGCTTACTCGGACCAGTTGAAAGTTCCAAAATAACATCCACTCCAGGGATACAAATTCAGGATACGCAGAAGACTGCTGTTTTATTATAGGCGGTTGTCATATATTGTATTATCCGAGTTGCACAGTTTATAAACTGAAACATTGAGATCCAAAGTGCCGACGCAGAGTGAGCGATCTGATTCTTTAGCTGTAAACTGTGTCACAGGGTTCAAAATGGCCGCGCCCTATGTTGGGCGTGTCGGACCTCTCTCTTGCCTCGTATAGTAATCAAAGTATGTGTTTAAGGCATTGAAGGAAAAAACAAGAAGGAACCACATCTGCATGCTCGTGCGTCCTCGGCTTGCCTCGTACGCATACGTGCTTAGATCTGTACCCGCCTTTGTCACCTTACTTATATGTGGGCTACAATTAATTGTAACTAGTGGAAACATCTGGTTATTGAAACGGATTTACGATTGAGGCTTACTCACCTTTAGAAGAGGAATAGTCAGTTCTAGATCGAGATCAAGTGATAATAATTCCAATAAATAGTCCCTATCAGCACACGGCACTTGATAGAACCAAGGATGCTCATCGAAATAAAAAGCAATCTTCTTAACACATAAATCGACCAAAGTTGGGATCTCGTCGTTATCCCATTCTAAATCTTGGGCGTCAATCAATATCCCCTGCTCGCTGATCAAGTCACTAGTCTCCTGGGATCGTTCATATAGTGATAGTACTAACGGATCAATTCTGTATGGGATCCTCATATTAATACTGATTAAGTATTGTTTAGAGTAAAAATGTACATTAATTTTCACGATTAAATAATAATAAAAAAACTCATTACCAAATCATTCGAAATTAATAATTTTGTTTGTACACTATCGCATTTTCAATTTCTGATATTCTTTTGTCAATTTGACATCTGATAATAATGCTGAGTTCAAGCAGCTCACTCCGCGTACGCGGAGTTACTCTATCGCACTCTGCCGCGTTCAAATTATACTCGCCAAGAGACGCGCGTTAACCCTATTACGTTCGAATAGGGCGGAGCAGAGTACATTGAGTAAATTATCCAGTACAATCTCTACGAGAGGCGACTCGGGAGCAAGTTTGCGCAGTAATCAATACCCGTTCGTTGTTTTGCGTTTTGTCGATACTATAGGCGTTTTCGGAAACCTACTATAGATAGCAAATCCAGATCACTGGGTTTACCCGTTGGATCAAGTGGATCACTAAACTTAGTGACGACAGTTTAAAAACGAGTTAGATTATTGTTCATGTTCATCTACGTCTGTCAATCTTTGACATTTCTCCCTAATTTATTAAAGAACTATTTTAATTAAACATATTTGTAGTCTGACTAATAAAATCACAATATGGGCATACAGACTACAAGTTATAACTCATTGAATTCAGAAAAAACTTCAAAGCTACTACTGGCAGACACCAAACACCAAAACATTGCGTTATCCTTTTATAAAATCCTGCGGTGCGCATGCGGATCTATTACTAATCTACTAGTGACACATACTTTGATTTTCTTTTACTATACGGAGAATGGTCGCACTGCGCAACTTTCTGAGTGCCTTCTAAAAGGCGATAGAAAATTCCGCCATTTTGCTCCCTTATTACGTGTTGCCTACATCTTGGCGCAATATTTTTAATAGGTGCGTTTTAATCATCCGCTTCTGCTTCGGAATTGTCGTTTTTCTTGTTTTAATCTGACAGGTTAAAACGACTGAACCGACAATTCCGGAAGCAGAAGCAGATGATTAAAACACACCTGATATTTTGCTTGCTGCTGTCAGTGTCAGTGAATATTATTTTTGGAGTCACAGTTTATTGCTAAAGAAGCAGTTAGCTCACTCCAACCAGTTGAAAGTTCCAAAATAACATCCACTCCAGGGATACAAATTCAGGATACGCAGAAGACTGCTGTTTTATTATAGGCGGTTGTCATATATTGTATTATCCGAGTTGCGTAGTGTATAAACTGGAACATTGAGATCAAAAGTGCCGACGCAGAGTGAGCTATCTGATTCTTAAGCTATAAAATGTGTCATAGGGTTCAAAATGGCCGCGCCCTATGACGGGCGTGTCGGACCTCTCTCTTGCCCCGTATAGTAATCAAAGTATGTGACTGGTGGAGTGGGTCACAAAATATTGATCTCGATCACAAAGCTGGATCAGTAATCTACTAGTTTCCTAACACGAATAAGGTTAGTAACCATAGGTAAACGAACAATAGGATCCATAATATTTCTGATCCGAGTAAGTTTCCGAAAACGCCTTATGAAGACTAGAGATTCGCGATTCAAATTAATTTTCGCGTGCCTGTCATTTGTCACCTATAAGTAGGGTGTTTGTTTATTTACATGTGTTTGTTTTGGGCGGATTTTGTATTTGTGATTTTTTAAACAATTTTTAGATACTATTTTCATTGTAATAGTATTTTTGAGTTTCATTTAATGTTAATTTAAGTTTAAGTCTCGTGCTTTCGTCATAAATATAATATTTATAATGTGTATGACTTAATTTGTTGGAAATATTCACCTATTGGTTGCTACAAGAACTTCTAGAAATATTTATTTACTAAACCCAGGACCTGTTTTATCATGTAGTTTAAAGGACATATCAGGTATCAAACGTTTATTATAGATGAACTTATTTAAAAATCTTACTAGACTTATTCTTGTATTATGAAGTGAATTATGCAGTACTTTGTATACATGTAAATGGTAATAAAACCGTCACAAATCAGATTAAAGTTTGATTCTAAAAATAGTTTTGCAAAATTTCAATAGTGTGTGTGTGTGTGTGTGTGTGTGTGTGTGTGTGTGTGTGTGTGTGTGTGTGTGTGTGTGTGTGTGTGTGTGTGTGTGTGTGTGTGTGTGTGTGTGTGTGTGTGTGTGTGTGTGTGTGTGTGTGTGTGTGTGTGTGTGTGTGTGTGTGTGTGTGTGTGTGTGTGTGTGTGTGTGTGTGTGTGTGTGTGTGTGTGTGTGTGTGTGTGTGTGTGTGTGTGTGTGTGTGTGTGTGTGTGTGTGTGTGTGTGTGTGTGTGTGTGTGTGTGTGTGTGTGTGTGTGTGTGTGTGTGTGTGTGTGTGTGTGTGTGTGTGTGTGTGTGTGTGTGTGTGTGTGTGTGTGTGTGTGTGTGTGTGTGTGTGTGTGTGTGTGTGTGTGTGTGTGTGTGTGTGTGTGTGTGTGTGTGTGTGTGTGTGTGTGTGTGTGTGTGTGTGTGTGTGTGTGTGTGTGTGTGTGTGTGTGTGTGTGTGTGTGTGTGTGTGTGTGTGTGTGTGTGTGTGTGTGTGTGTGTGTGTGTGTGTGTGTGTGTGTGTGTGTGTGTGTGTGTGTGTGTGTGTGTGTGTGTGTGTGTGTGTGTGTGTGTGTGTGTGTGTGTGTGTGTGTGTGTGTGTGTGTGTGTGTGTGTGTGTGTGTGTGTGTGTGTGTGTGTGTGTGTGTGTGTGTGTGTGTGTGTGTGTGTGTGTGTGTGTGTGTGTGTGTGTGTGTGTGTGTGTGTGTGTGTGTGTGTGTGTGTGTGTGTGTGTGTGTGTGTGTGTGTGTGTGTGTGTGTGTGTGTGTGTGTGTGTGTGTGTGTGTGTGTGTGTGTGTGTGTGTGTGTGTGTGTGTGTGTGTGTGTGTGTGTGTGTGTGTGTGTGTGTGTGTGTGTGTGTGTGTGTGTGTGTGTGTGTGTGTGTGTGTGTGTGTGTGTGTGTGTGTGTGTGTGTGTGTGTGTGTGTGTGTGTGTGTGTGTGTGTGTGCGCGCGCGCTATAAGTTCTGCTGTATAAATTGTCATTAAATCGGGTAATCTATTTTTAATTTTAATAGTTTTTTTGTAGATAATATATAGCATAGGCAACTTTTCCGTCTTTTTTTAAACCGTCTTTGTATAGATTTTGGTAATTTTCCCAGTAATTTTCAACATATAGTAAATGATCAATTTTTGTCAGGGCGTCAGTTGCTTGAATCTTACTGAAATAACAACTGAACAGTACTAAATAGTCTTCGTAATTTAACTTTAAATAGGACATGTGTTCTTTTGGATTAATTGCGGTAAATATATTTGAATAATCAAGAAAACTTCCTACAAATAATGGCACTTTTTTCTTTTTCCAATATTGATGTGTTAAGCAGTTGGTAGTTAATTGTACGATTTTATTTAGCAATGTTTTACCACTTACAACTAAAAGGACTATAAATGTAATTCCTTAAAATTGTCTGCGTAAAATTAATGAGGGCTCACAAAGTTGCGCTTCCATAACCTTGATAGGTGTGCTAGGCAGATAACCAATGCATAGTCTTAAAGCTTTATTTTTTATTCGTTCAATTTTTTGAATTGTGGAATTAGATGCAGAGCCATAGAATATTGATCCATAATCCAAGATAGATCTAATTGGATTTTTAAATAATAATAAAGAGATATTTGGATCTGCTCCCCAATCACTAACGTTTACAGTCTTGAGAATATTCATAGCATTTTCAGTCCTTCGTAAAATGTAATTTATGTGTACTTTCCAGTTCAATTTGTAATCTAAATATAAACCAAGAAATTTAACTGAAGTTTTATAAGGGAATATACTGTTTTCAAACTGTACATAATTACGAGGATTAAAACGTTTTCTAGTGAATGTAACGACTGACGACTTATTTTCTGAAATAGCAAAATTATTATTTCTAGCCCAATTTGTTGTGACAATAAATGCTTCTTCCAGGAGTTCATTACATTTATCTATCGATTTATTTTCCACGTAAATTGCAATATCGTCGGCGTACTGTAAAATTCTTATGTGCTCTGGAAATTGTTCTTCTAAATCTGCAGTATATAATATATACAAAAGAGGACTTAAAATACTGCCTTGCGGAAGTCCTAATGATGTATAACGAGAGTTAGTTTTATCCCTATTTATTCTTATGTATACTTCTCTATTAACGTATAAACTAATTATATTATATATAATAGTAGCTAGAATACCCATTTCGGACATCTTTTTAGAGAGAATATTATAGATTTACGATATGCTCCCTTTATATCTAAAAATAAAGCACTGATTTACGAAATGTGAGGGCATTGTAAACAGCTGATAATAAATGTCCAAGACTCTCTTGAGCAGATTTTCCTTTTATAAAACCAAATTGAGTTTTTGATAATTTATTGTTTTCTTCTAGCCAGAATTCCATACGAGTTTTAATAAGTCTCTCATATGTTTTAAGTATGCATGAAGCAAGACCTATTATTGGACGATAAGAGTCCCAGTTTTTTTAAGATTTTCCTGGTTTCAAAATAGGTAGGATAATATAAACAATATTGTGAATTTGTTGATATCCATTTATCGTAAAAAACAAAATTTTACGACTTGCACTTGGAAAATAATGAATACTTTAGTTTCTTTTCAGTTTTGATTTTGACATTAACACCATATATGTAGATTGGAATTTGCTGGGGACTTTTTCGCAGATTTCATTTTTAATTTAAACACTATAAGAAATAAACAAATTTAAAGCTAAAAAGTAAGAAAAAACTCGAATTGTAATTGATACAAATTAAAATGTAAACAATGAACACCAACACCAAAATAATATAAAAGATAAAAGGATTATTGGGCAAATACCGCAAAAAAAATTTTAAAAAAATGCTAAAGGCAAACCGTAGACACGTGTTTTTGACTATTGGTCTTCATCAGTACGGTGTAGCCAAGTTCAAAAGAGAATGGAACTAGCGATGAAATCAAATCAACAGAAGATCACTCAAGAAGCCAACCACACATTTGTGGACTTTGCTGCACCGGACTGATGAAGACCAATAGTCAGAAACACGTGTCTACGGTTTGCCTTTGGGCATTTTTTTTCATTTCGTTTTGCGGTATTTGCCCAAAAATCCTTTTATCTTTTATATTTTTCTACCGCAATAAACCTTCTTCTATATACAGGGTGGCTCACGCTC